TATATATATATATATATATATATATATATATATATATATATATATATATATATATATATATATATATATATATATATATATATATATATATGCAGCTATTTCAATTAAGGTTGTCCACGAGCAAAGCGGAAAAGTCGAATACGAGCACGAAAGGCTGCTAGGAATCGCTAACAAATTAATGAATTTTCAAAGCGATTCCCAGCAGCCTTTCGCGCTCGTATTCGACTTTTCCGCTTTGCTCGTGGACAACCTTAATTGAAATAGCTGTATACATATAGATATATATATATATATATATATATATAGTAATGCACTATTAAATTTTTAAACTCGGGGGATTTGGCGAAATATTACCCGGAGTGAAATATTACTCGGGGCAAAGCCCTTCGGGAAATATCATTACCTCGGGTAATATTTCACCAAATCCCCCGAACGGAGGGTCAATAAATGATAATTGTTTCACATGCAAATATCATACTTATAACATGACATCTTTAATAAAGGGCATCATTAATTTTTGGATTGATCAAATATTCCATACACAAATATGGAAGGACTAATGACTAATGATTAATGGCAATGATTTATGAACATAATTATTATACTGTATAAGCCCTAAGAAATTTGGTTGCATAAACCATTTCTCACTTATCAAACTGTTATTTTTCCTTGATAGGTGTTGGTTGCTCCATACATCCCAGGCATGTTACAACCGAGTGAGATGGATTATATTATTCAAAATATGCAGTTTAATAACGTTACGAACCTAGAAGCCATCAAGAACGAGATATCGAACAAACTAACTCAGGTTTATGTGAAGGCACTATTGAGTGGAGTTCAAAAGAGAAGGAAAAGAGCTTTAGGGAGCATTGATGCTGTGGTAAGTATCTCGTGACAATATTTGAAAGACATTGAAAGAGAGATTGAAAGAGCAATAGACCTTATGCGTAATGACGTCAAAAGGCGTGACGTACGCGGGAAATTCCGGTCTTAGTGGTCACGGCGGGCACTGTCGTAGGTGAGTGTGCTGCTGTTCTATGTTCTATTATTTTATTTTAATTTTCTTATTTTATTGGCTTTTGCCAACTAGGGCAGGATCACCACAACAGCATATACCTAACCCACCCTGTCAACTTTCCCTGTGGGAGGAAACCGGAGTACTCGGAGGAAACCCACGACTTTCGGCAGAGCGTTAACTTTTACTCTTTTCGCATGAGGACTGGGTGCGAATCTCATTGAGGGAGTTCTCACTGAGGCTCAGACCCACGACCTTAGAGGTGAAAGGCAAGTGCACTAACCATTTCGCCACCGAAGGCCCATAGATCTGTTCAAGCCAATGAAGACCCTACATGTAGTTCTTTTCAGAACTCTTGTGCGGGTCTTCAAAAGGTTTGGTAGTCCTGAAAGTAACGGCAACGGGCCGCTTTCATCGACCAGTACAAGTAAAAGAAATGAGTGTTTTACGTGTTGTATTCCTGCCTGGTTTGCCAACAGTAAAAGAAATCCAGAACTATAATCTGTTATACATTATATAAAGGAGTTGCATTTATTTGTTAGTCCATAATTCGTTTGCGGTAGGCTTTGCAACATTCAAATATGGCAGCTGGTTCATGTAGGTTTTACGTCCTCTGGAAAATGCAAAAAAAAAACACTCTATGACCTGTTGTTGGTAAGAAATCTTTGCAGGCAACTACATTTATACCCACATCTTACGGAGTTCTTTTACCACTTGAAAAATTATAAAAAGAAAAACCACCATTTCTTTTACTCGTGCTAGTCGATGAAAGCGGACTGTTTCCGTTACTCTCAGGGCTGCCAAACTTCTTGAACACCCGTGCAAGAGTTCTTAAAAGAACTAGCCAGCGTCTTCATTGGCTTGACGACAAAGAACAGCAGCGCACTCACCTACGACAGTGGCCACGTTGGATTGTTTTCCAGCCGTGACCACTAAGACCATAATTCAACGCGTGCATCACGCCTTGCATTGTGACGTGATGATGCATAAGGCCTATTGGAACCGGAGATAGTTTCGCAGGTTAAGCATAATTACCAGTGATAAAGAATTGAGAAATATAACGGATAAGGCTCTTAAAGAGTCTGGCTCGACATAATTGTTTGACTTCCCGCCATTTTGGGTAGCAAATGTTTAGAGCTATAAATAAAAACATCTACACAGTGTTTTTGTCGCTCAAATCGCGTGATATTTTAGCGTGACGTAGCATTCCCGCGTGACTAAAAACGCCTATCTTCTGGACTTGTGATAACCTGCCTTATTGGTCACTGTCTGTCAAACTGAAAACACTCTCGTCATGCACATGCGACTGAGACAAACATAAAACCACGATGAATTTTTTTGTATGTTGACGAATGTGCCCTGAATAATGAGATGTTAACTTTGTGAGTGGAAGTACGTGCATGCAGAGCCTGTTGATGCGTGTAAATGTAATGGGATATGTTTCACAATCATGGTATATATATTCCACTAGCCCGGACTCCATGCAGCCTTTATGTGAATAGTCATTTTGGAAATCATCGCTTCTTTGCTCTCGCTGAGTTTTACAACATCTATATTTTAATTTTTGCAATATACTCCTCGATATAACCCTTGCGGACTTAGCATTTATCGAATCATTAGTTTGAGCTAAGGACAAAGTTTGTATTGTACGTGTTTTTTTTGTTACCCTCTGCAAGTGAACCGTATATATATATATATAACTGATTAATTAATTAATCGAAGTATACACTTTAGGCAGTACTGGAGTGCATGATTCAGGAAAATATATAGAGAATAATACATGGGTGCGCGGAAATACCAGTTTATTTCGAGTGTTAAACATGATATCTCACGAGTGAGCGCAGCGAAGGATTCCCTGCTGGCAGAGGTCTCTATTTGCGAGGTCTCTATCTGACACTTCCTCAGTCCATGATCGTGGACGAGTCAAACCAGTTTGTAAAACAAGTTCTGAAACCGGGTTAGAGAAACAAATAGTACGCATGCTCAGAGCTGAATTACGCTGTAATGACATTGAGCCCGTAGTGTCAAAATGGCGGCTTGCACAGCGTGGTCATTTCAAGGTTTTTCATGTTGTTTGAAAGTGCTCTAAGTTATGTAATTGATATTTTTAAAGATGAAACTGTGAAAGCATTGACAGAAGTTTTATCGGGCCGAGATATAGAGATTTCTTAATGGGAATTGCTGACGTATGGTATTTTCGCACACGTTAATTTGTTTTCACAAAACGAACCTGAAAATAAACATTGAAAATTGAAACATTGAAATTAAAATTCTGCCAAAAACATTGCCGACAATGAACGAATTCGCTCGTACGTAAACACGGGCTAGTGCTGATTGGACGAAACGTTTTTCGCACGTGTGAAATAATCGTTTCGCGTTTCTGATTGGTTGACGTTAATCTTGAAAGGGCTTTTCACATTAATAAAACCGTGCGTAAATATCAGTATCTATACAATAAACATTTGTTTGCCTTCAAACTACAGTAAGTCTTTGAAATACCGAAAAAACTCGGTTTGATATCACGTGGTGAACATCACTCGTCATGGCAATATTTGCACATGCACGACAGAAAACGTGTCAGATCTAGGCAGAGGTCTCTTCTCCTGCGCTTCCCAGCACAAATAGAGACCTCTGCCAGCAGAGAAAGCGAACGAGTAAGATATCATGTTCAACACGAGAAATAAATCTGGTATTTCCAAGCACCCATGTATTTTTCTGTTTATTATATAAAGGACAGTCTTTGAAAAGCGATAATTTTTACAGAAAAGCAATAATTGAAAAGCGATAATTTTCACATGTGAGATTATCATGAATAATCTCACATGTGAGATTATCACTTTTATCAGTGCTCGAAATCTCTTTCAAGCACTCAATAATTCATAAGCCTATTGGTAAATCATGTCAACCATAGTATGTCACCTGCAGTGGCTTTAAACCTGATAAAACACTCCTAATTAGTATTCTTTATATAAAGAATATGAATAAGGCAGTATCTATTGTAGTCGTGTCCACATTAGTATTCTTTATATAAAGAATACTAATAAGGCAGTATATCTATTGAATTTGTAGTCGTGTTTGAAACCGTTTAATAAACTCGCAGGTCGTGTTTTATTAGATCTAAAGCAGGGCGCTGTAAAACACGGGCGGTGAAACGGCTATGGCGCCCCTGATCTATGTGTGATGCAGGTCCCCCCGCATATTTTCATTTTTATTCGAATTCGATGTGGTTTGATCAGACATGCATGTTTGTTTTGACTTCTTTTTAAAATTACTTAGTAAAAAGGTACAATTCAAGCTGAATTCACAATGGATTTGGGATCTGTGCTATTACTACAGACAAAATCTTTTTTCCGGATTCTTAATCACGGCTGATTATATGGGGAATGTTGTAGTGTGATATAAGTCTGGGATCTCACTCACGAGAATCGATTGTTTTTGCAAAACAACTTCGTTCGTTTATAAGATGAAAAAAAAGACGAAGAAAAAGTTTTTTAAACGGCTGTTGTTGTAAAACCTGCAACTGGAATGTGTGTTTGGAAATCAGGTATGTTCAATCACATGTATTTTTGTCAAGTTCCACCAGATGAAGCGCCATAAATTGATAAAAACAGCAAGTTCTTTTTTTCAAGCGATAGTTTGTTGTCGCAGTTTTACAAGCGCGGAAAATTTTTAACTTTTAAATATTTCATGCACAATATATGAAAACTAGTTTTATTTTGATGTTTTTGTATAATTTAAGTACCTAGTTTTCTGAAAATCACCAAATGAGAATGGGCTTTTTTAATTTTTAAACATTTTTTTGGCCTTGTTTTTGACATGTGCATGCCAAATCTACACATGAAATAGACTGAGCTGACATGCTGAAATTTAAGGCTAAAAAAATATGTTTCGACGAAAAAGTCTGTCTTTTTTTGATAAATTTCTGATATATTATGACTCGATTTTAGTTTGTACAATTTTTTAGGGGATGTTTCACACCTAGGAAAAAAACTACATGCAAAAAATACAATTTTTCCGCGGTTCTTTTTCAAAACGTAAACATGGCCGCATCCTCGGCAGTTTGTCGAGCTGACATGCTGAAATTCAAGGCAAAAAAATATGTTTTGATGAAACAGTCTGTCTTCTTTTAAAAAATTTCTGATATATTATGACTTGATTTCAGTTTCTACGATTTTTTAGGGGATGTTTCACACCTAGGAAAAAAACTACATGCAAAAATACAATTTTTCCGCGGTTCTTTTTCAAAACGTAAACATGGCCTCTAAAATGGCCGTATACGTTGTACTTTATCGAGCTGACATGATCTATATATTGTTTTTGAAACTAATTGTTTTTGAACTAATTATGTCTTTGACGGCTTGGGGAATGTTATTTGTATCTAAAATCAAATATTGTAGCAATATAATTAGATTGAACAATATTTAAAATGTTCCGCTTGATATTTTAAAAACTTTCGTGTTAACTTGCGTTGCTTCTCCTTGCGATACAAATGATGAACAGCACTATGTTCAGGGAAAAAAGTTATAGCAAAAAAAGTCCAAAAAAGTCCGACTCTTAATTTTAATTATTCTCAAGTATGTTAATTTGGGAAACTTTTTGTGCTATCAAATTCACCTAGGACTACGTAGAGCGTTAAAAAACTCGTATTAAAACCTGACTTTGTGCGCAAAAATAACAAATTTTGAAGGGAACAAAAATCAAAACATTTCTTAAAACATTGACATTTTACAACGCAATGCGCTTTTTGTTTATTTTAATTAAGTAAAGCTGAAGTATAATAGTGTTTCTTTCAAATTACGTTAAATAATTATGTAATAATTTAAAACTTACCTATATTTTCGTTTGTTATTTCGTAGTCTTCGGCAAATCTTTTTGTTGCCATTTTTGTGCCGTTCTTTTTGTATTTCTCGCAAAACGCGCGCTTTCGCCAGTCTCCAGCCGCATCACACATAGATCAGCGCGATTACCGCGCGTTTCCTCGCCCGTGTTTTACTACGCCCTGATCTAAAGCCACTCGCGCTGCGCGCTTGTGACTTTAAACCTAATAAAACACTCCTGACTCCTGCTCGTTTATTAAACAGTACATAAAGCACTATACTTTATATAATAAGATACAATAATTTATATTGACAACGCAGTGTTTTTCTCATGAATATATTGTATCATGTTTCCCTCATGACGCGGCTCTGAAATAGAGTTGAAACACTGTTGGCATCGCAAGAATAACATACGTTGCGTTTATATGTTAAGTCAAAGTCGCGAGCTGAATATCTCGGCGCTTAAATATAAACATGACTGTGCTCTCCCCCAGTGGCTCGATAGCTCAATTGACTCCGCCAATTGAATCTACCCATATTATTTACCCGATTCGCAATTGAGTCTACTCATAGTTAAGTCTACTTTATGTTGACAATACATGCAGTGTTGGATTTTTCTCGATATTGTATATCGAGTGCATGCATTCATTATTGGTTAATTTGTAGTTTGGTATTTAGTGTACAGTATATACCAACCATCACTTTGTCTTATTAAATCTTAATCCGCCGCCCAGCAGTCCAGAGGTGTTTGAATTTAAATATGGCCATCGCTTTATTCCTATATCTTTATCAAAAGCCACACGTCGACGTCGTATGCCATAAACCTAACTTGGAACTGTATATCTCTTGACTGGTCATTAGGACTGTTTATATCAGTGTTTACCATGTATAATCCAATGCCTTGGCAACCACGGTCTTGACCTTCTCAAATTACAGCTTCGTCGGTCCAAAACAAAATGGCAAATAATAGCAAATCAGATTGCAAATCATCTATTATTGTGGGTTCAATTAATGATATCGTAGTACTTATATTCGCATTGCTCGTCGGATTGTAGAGGTTTGTACAATTCTTTGTACCTATGACGTTAATTAAACTATAATAATATAAATATATGGCATACAGAACGAATTGTTAGTTGTGAATAAACTGTTGAATTTAGCAGCATATTAACAGAATCCTATGTCGGTACTCACATATAGGGGAGAGCCAGTCGAAGTGTGGCCGAGCTTGCATGCTTATTATACCGCGACGAATTTCATTCGGCTTTGCATTGGACTGACAGTTCATTCGAGCTGGCACTGCACTACAGTTAGTCATGTATACTTCCAACGATTTCGGCTGAACATAGGCAGTACTTAATACTTAGTAGGACCTGCAGTTGCATTAGTTTGTTTTCGCAAGTGCTTCTGGTTAGTGCATGTACAGATATTTACGTTTGAAAAATACGAAATACCAATATCTAGTATTGTATATTCTGTCGAAGGAGATATACCTGTATATTCCGATTTTCGCGTAAATAGTGTATTTATACATCTGAGTATGAAACCAGCAAAGCTAATGTAGCATTCTTATTATTTGGTAATATCCCGCCTGTTGTCCGAAATCCCCACCAATGCAAAGTCAATGTCCTGTAGGTCAGCTGGACCGATACTGTAGTACGCTTTAAGCCAGTTTTCCACTTCAACCGTATCTTAACGTACCTAGCATTTTATTTTGTGTCGAAATAATTTGTTCAATACTACCCCTCACTGGAAACAAAGAAATACGCTACGTTTCGGTATGATACGATTGAAGTGGAAACCGCCTTTAGTCGAGAAAGTAATCCGAATTCCCCTCTGCCTTTGTATTTTTCAGGTTACTGGAACTAGCTGGACTCAAGGTATCTCTGCTGACGTGACATATTACATCACAGATGCTGGTTCAATCCTCAACGCCACTTACGCATGCTCAATCTTAAAACGACTTACCCTTGTCGAAATGTCCAGTATCACTGCACCGTACACTGTCAATTCTACACCCCGTCCTCGGACGCCCACTACCTCGGGGACCTCTGCTAATGATGACGACTATCCCTCCTGGTTTATCCCTGTTGTAGTAGCTGGCTCTGTGGGCTTTCTACTATTGGTTCTTATTATTATACTATACTGCCGGTGGAAGAAAGGAGCGCCGCCTAAGAAAATTCAACCACAGGCAGGTTCTCCCATTGAGGAAGAAGTGCATAAACCAAGGGTAAGTGCATGATTGTCAAAGCAATTTGTACATGGAAATTTCGAGTC